CGCTCCTCTGGATGGGGCATACAGAGTCGCTTCAGGTCTTTGGGTCTGTGTGAGGTCGTCTCAAGAGAGTCCTTCTTCTCTGTGCCCTACAAGCAATGGGACCATCTTCCCCAGGTCTCATAATGCATTGACACGAGAAGGCAGGAAGGAGTTTTCAGCCAGTTGGTTTTAATCAGGCTCCTGAGCCAAAATCAACTTGTAGAGGGGAGGGTATGATGGAAGTCACCAGTGGGCTTCCCCCTCTCCCTGGAGGACCCTTGCTCCTGAAAACACAGGAGTGTTTGTTCACTCACAAATCGCCACTGCAAAGCTCTCCAAGTCTCTAGGAATCTGACAACCACAATATTAAAAAAAAAAAAAAAAAGAAGAAGAAGAAGAGCAGCATCTGACTTTGAGGGTGGATTGAAGCAGATCTTTTTCTGGACAACCCTGTCCTGAAACAGCTCTTGGGCTGGACACAGGAGCCAACACACAGCAGGGGCTGCTCTACATTTCAGCCCATGCAGTCATATCTTACTGGCAGAGCTAAGAGCAGCAAAAACAGAAGCACTATCAAATAGCCTAAGAACTTGAACGTTCACACAGTATTTTCCCTCCACCCAGCCATGGGAGAAACCCAAGGCAAATTCATAGGAGAAACCCAAGGCAAATCCAGTGACACATTCAGGACCTTGCAGTGAATCAGTGGCAAAGCTGGGGCTGTGCATCAGGCTTCCACCTTAATTGCTTCTGAGGGAATCTTCATCCATCCCAACCAGACAAAAGCAAAAATCAGAGAGGCTGCTTTCAGTCTCTCCCTCCCAACCCAAGTCTCAGGGATGGTAGCAACTGGCAGAGATGCCAGCTGAGAACAAGGTGCTGGAAAGACATTTGGAAGTCAAATAGTTGCTGTGAGGACGAAGGGATTCGTTCATTATCCACCTGCCAAACACCCACACATTCCCCTCCATGCCAGTGTCATCCTAATGACCAGCACCAGTACAGTCTGACTGAACTGCCTTTCTCAGCATCTGCTGTTCCCTGACTGTTGCCCCTCTCCCAGCTCCCACTGACTGACAAGCTGGTTACATCTGTACAAAGGCAATCTGCTGCAAAAGCACAAAGATCTCTAGATCAGTGCTGGGGCTCAACCACTGCGTCATCCGATACACACAGCTGTCACAAATAGCAGTGTCTGCCACCACACATACCCAGATCCGTTTTTATCCAAGTCCCTCTCCCATCCTGCTTTTCCTGTTCTATTCCTGCATCACAAATCAAATTGTATCAGTCAGGCCGTTCTGTTTCATCCCACTTTTCCTACAAGCATCCCAGTATCCTAGCAAGAAAATATTTCTCTCTCTGTGGCATGCCCTTCAGAGATCTCTGTAGCATCAACCACCAATGGTGAATCAATGGCCTCTCATTTTGAAGAGGCAAATAGCCATCAGGTCTGGTTGAGTCTAGGCCTGGATGGGGACCTGCAGGATTCACTTGCAGAGTGTGACATAACCATACCGCAGCACATGATACTCAGCTATCTGCCTGGCTGCAGCTAGATGTTGCCTGCAGTAGGTGAGATACACCAGACTAGCTCACCTGTGGAGAGCCTGCTAAGGGCAATGTGCTACAGGTCTGTCCGTGATATATCGCAGCTCTGAGCAAGGCAGTTTGGAGATGCCTCGGTCAGTAACATCACAGTGCATATGCTGGCTCAATCGTGCGTCTGCCTTTGCATATTCTACAATGCTTGCTGTTATTTCCTCCTTAACTGGAGGGTTATACATATATAGGCAAAAATACCACATCTAAGTTCACAGGACACAAGAAGTTGCCAAATCAGAGTGGAAGGGCAAAGACAACAGCAAATGGTCTGTACCCAGGTGCACGCAAAGGTGGCTCCCACCAGCGAGGGGCTGATGCTCAATGATGCCCAGCAAAGCCAAGCTCTGTCCAACAAGCTGCACCAGGAGCTGTATCCAGGAGGGTCCATGTGAGCGCTAGGGTGGCTCAGGGCATCCCAGCATGGGAAGGTTGGGGAAAGTGGGGTGTTCATTAAATGCTAGGGCCAAATCGACACCAGCAACCCAGAAGTACCCAGAAGTAATACCCTTATTTGTCGCAGAACTAAGTAGGGGCAGATCTGGAGCATTTTGTCCTGTCGACAAGCTACGATGCCCGCAGAGCTCTGGTGGAAATATTCCTCCATAGCACTGACCTGCGCAATGAAGCGACGACTGCCTGGTGCAGCCCGAGCCCCCGGCGCT